AAAAGTATTAAATTGCTACTCGTTATTTCCTTAAGTATCATTTTGAGTGCGTGTGTGATTATCTGCACTGTGAAGGCTGGTTTATGGAGCCATAAAATTGTTATTAATATAGAAAGTTTCTTCTGAAGACTTCTCCTAAGTGATGGCGCTGTTTATGATGTTAATTAGTTTTCCGTGATTTGAGGTTGATGCGCAGCGTGCACTTTTGATAGCCACCGAAACGCGACGTGCGCTACTGTTTGAAATTGATCGACTGAATCGAGGAGAATGGAAAGGGTGCGCTCAACTTTTCTTTACCTAGTGAATATATGGAATTCGGTTTTCTTTTTACTTTTTTCTAAATTGTGTGAGCTTCTAAGCATTAAGGAAAAAAGTATCCAGATGGTTACAGTTATTAACTGGTTTAGAGCCACCGGTCCTCGTGGAACGCTTTCAATCAGCAGCATAACGGTATTCTTGGATCGTGACTATGTCAACTCACAGATTAACTGCATTTCTAATCGAGGTGTATTAAGAAATGCTTTGTAGTTTGATGAGTGACAAATCCTTTCTTGGATCAAAAGTCTGTTTTGACAGAGAGTACTAGTTTGACAAGTCATGCAATGATTATGCATTGTTTTGAAGTGTCTTATTAACAGCAAGTGCATCAGGATGGTTCTAATTCGTTTAGTAGTTTTTTGAATTTTTTTCCCGTAATATAAGCACTATGATAGAAACATTTTACAAGCGTGGAATTTATTCCATTGTTTCAAAGTGCTGCTAACCAATTTTTGATAATTTCAGATGACATATACTACTTCATTGTTATGCTTCGGTGTGGTTGTGATGTCCAACATACTGCTTTGATAACCAGCGACGAAGGCGTAAGAAAAAAGGTGATAAACAAAGCTTCTTAGTGTTCCAGTGTTTCAAATGATTGATTCTTGTGAATATTGTTGACGACAATAATTGCTGATTTTCCCAGTGGAAGTAAATCCTTGATATGATATCATAGAAGCGTAGTTCAAAAATGAAGAGGAGTTCAATATAGTTTATTTATTTCTAGGGCCTTCTCGAATTTGATTGCTATCTGTCACTGAAGGATCTCTCACCGGACTTTATATGTGTTCTTGAAGTTTTTGGCCTCGTAAGTTTTTTATCCACTGTTTTCGTCGAGGTACCGCACATTTACACTTTTTTATTTCACTTCTTAATTCTATATTACTTTACTGCTTACGCGTCTCGTCTATTTCCTTTAATTCAGCGGACCAAACGTGAACACATCTCTCATGAAGTCAAATACCGACTGACTGGGACAGTAAGTAAAAAGGTAAATAGTTATAAATGTGTTCTTCATTGGAAACCTTCATTAAACGACGCTCTCAGAACATACATATGCTAGCGCTTCTGAAATTGTTTTAAAATGATAGTTAAACGTCACAACATTTTTGGACTTCTGTACAACTTAGATATAAGGTAATTGTCTCCACTTTCTCTTATAACCGTTTTAAATTCACTCCATTAGGATTGTATGCATACTCATGATTGTGTTTGGCAAGTAACAATCGGAATTAGTAGCGCTAGTTATGCGAGAAGAAGTCCGACGTTTCCATCCGGAAGCCTAGCTAAAAGCAAACCAATACCAGGATTCACCACCGCCCTGGTATCAAATTAGTCGCATGGTGGCAAATTTCTCTCTGTTCCTCATGCTCGTTTCATGGGCCGGTTTGATGGGTTTTGCTCATTTGAAGAACACGAGAAGCAATGTACCTTTTGTACGACTCCTTTTAGTGCAAAGTTACCCATGGATAGCTCATGTGGTGTGGCATGGTTGAGGTTTGTTATCAGCTTAACTTCTGTACGGAGATGTCGAATTTCACTTCGCATCAAGCCATACATCGCACACAACAAACAGACTCCACCATAATGATTAAATAGACCGCTGATAAACGATAGCGATACTGATGTACAGAATCAAGTCAAGTGCAATACTCAGTTACAGATAGTTTCCTTCTTCGACAATGGTTTTTGAGCCATAATAAACAGCGTCTCGCCAACGGTTTACCGCCTCATTGCGGCTAGGAGGTGCCTCTGGTTGTCACGCTGCGATGTGCTGCGGAAGCTGTGTGCCCCAGCAGGGCCTCTCAAGCTGAGAAGCAGTCCGATATTTCCACTCGGAAGCCTAGGAGTGAGCCACTACCAGGAACCGCCGCCGTTCTGCTATCAAACTGACCACACTCTGGCATATCGCGCTCTGATCCACAAGATCGACTGGCTTTGGTAGTGAAGACCTCAGGAAGGTTTCAGCCAGGTTGACCACGGGAATCCATGGAACCACAGTGGCTGTGCCAGCAAAGTTCTGGCTTCAATACCACGCAAACTGTGCGTTCCTGTCTACAACGTGGCGCGGTGAGACAACCTGTGAGAAGCGATCAAGTCTCGGGTTGCAAAAGACGTCTTTGGAAACGAACAAAACGAGCACACCCGCGATAAGTTGTGGGGACTGCTTTTTGCTGTGCACGTATAACGCTAGAACAGCCTCTTCAGACGCCGACGTTCACGCTGTTCTTGACGCAGCATCAAATCCAACGTCCCTACAAGAGGCGGAAAAAAGGAAGACCGACATCCGCCAATTAGATGACGGAATCCTTGTTATTCGTGAGGACAATTTTCGTTATGAATTTTCAGAGGGGTTAACTTTGCCGTATATCCATTTATTTTCTATCTGGTCACTTCATGCGAAATCCTATCATCGCGATTTGCCATTCTTCGTCTCCAACTTGCTAGTCGGAAGAAAGTCACTATCATTAACTGTTGCTCACCAATTTGCGCAGCCGACGAGAGTGAACTGAATGCGTTTCGCAGCCACTTGAAGGAAGTAAACCACAATGAAAATTTCTTTTACAAATTCATGTTGAACGCTAAATTAAAAATGGTCTACGAAAATGAATACAGGATAGGGAGATTCGAAATAAAAAAACGAAATGAGAATGGAAATTATCTTGTAGGATTCCTGTTCTTTCATGAAAATTCATGTTTTAAGAAGAGAAAAAATTGCCATGTTAACATGGTAGTCTCCCAATAGCATAACTCATGTGTAGATCGATCATATTCTCACTAACATAAAATTATGCCTCTTTGATGCGATTGTTCGATTCAGCCTCAATACATAGAAGAACTCCCGTCATCGCCTAAAAAAAGCGAAAGAAGTCGTGTACGACGAGTGAAGAGGGTATTCTCAGTTGACTGCCAAATAAATGAAGACCCGACAAGGGACTTCGCGCTGTTTGTGTAAGGCCCTAAAACTTGTCCCGAAATCGCCTCTCAGTTCCTCAAACAAGAAATTGAGAACGCGTATCCATTACCACTAAGGAATTCCTCGAAAAGAGATATACATTGAATCTTGATCTTACTGCAATATACCTAACACTGCTGATAATAAATGCCAGCTGTAGAAGATCCTTACAGGAGTATTTACATCGATATAGGAGAAATGCTGTCGGGATCTTTGCGACCGTTCCGCTATTCGTCCTGCTAAACGAAGGTAGGACTATCGCTGCATGCCGCCAAACAGTGGCATCGATAAAAGAAAGGTTCTATGCAAATCTTTTCCGCTCCACAATCCCCACTTCGGACCCCGAAATCCCCGTTAGTGAGAAGCCGGAATTCTACCCTGAAAATTTCGAGTTGCGAAAGAAAATGTGAAGAGAAGCTCAGCTGTAAGACCCAATAATATCACCGCCGATTTACTTAAAGCTGGTGGCAGCAACTTACACGTCCTTGCAACCCACATGATATTTTATCTTCAGAAAGAGAAAATCCCAGATCAATGGTGGACCTCGCCCACGATCATCCTACCCAACAAGGGATCTTTGTAACTACTACTATGCATGTTGAGTGTACTCTACAGGCTGTTCCCAAAGCCTTTTGGGCATATCGGAGACCCTGGATGATGCACATCCAGTTGATCAAGTAAGATTTCGACAGGAATTCTGCTGCTTGTACCACATCCAAAACGTCTAAAGTACTATAGAAGTTTATCGCGAGTAGCATCCGCTCCTTATCCTTAATTGTGGAATGGGTCTCGCGGACTTCACTATGTTCGAAGCAGGCCACCACATGAACGGTAACTGTGCGAAGGAGAAGGGAATCGAAATTATGTTGGGGTCTGCACAACCACTGAAGACGAGCCATACAAGTATCTAGGTGTTGTGTAATTCATTGTGATCCAGAAATTTATACGGTCGTTACTGTTTTCCTCGAATACTGCAAAACTTTTGCACTTACCGACTTAGTAGGAAGATTTCTTTTTCCCTCCAAAAGTTTCCCATTTTCTTCATACATCTGGGTAAATTACATTTCGACTTGCCGTATCATTACAATTTTGAATTGATTGAATTCTTGCCTATTCGTTCAACATTTCTGAAGAGCATATGATTGTAATTGAGTAAGTTTTTATTGCTTTACACGTGGTGGATTCAGTATTCGTCTGATCAAATTGACATTTTATCCAATTGTTAGTAAATGGATTAGTGTTTAAGATTATCTACGAAATTGCGAGAGTGTCTCTTTTTCCAGCAACGTTCGAAGTTTTCGACAGTGATGAAAACGTCAATTGGTGGGCCGTCAGCTTTGATAGATCCCAGTTTTCAACTGGTTGGTCGGCTCACAATTGACATTAATACTAATGATCGTAAACTGCAACTTCAAGATGTCTTGTTACCGCTGGAAGGGTCTATTGTTATGAAAATGAAGAGGTGTGGTTGTTTATGTTCATGCAACACTATAAGTTTTTTAATGTAATGGTTTAAAATATTAGCAATTCAACCGTACTGTCTTCTAGACATGCCACAGATAAGAGCTGCACAATTAATCGTGGTTTCCTATCTATGTATCAGCGTACAAGCGATGGACTTGGAACTTGGACCAGGTGCTGTTACAAATACTCCTCGATTCTTTTCAGAAATTAATTGCTGTTCTTAGCATTTTTCAGATACTGGTGTGTCCTCGAAGGTGGAGAGATGAAATTTTGGCGCGGTCCCGATGAAGAGCGTGATGGAAAAGTAAGTCATCATTAGAATTATTAAATCTAAGGAACCTATCAATATGGAATCAAATTGATTTTGTAGTTCGATTTCTTCTTATTAAATTTAGGATCTATTTTATTAGTTTTCGAATACCTGGAAGTGTCGAAGTCATAAAACATATAGGTGGAAGTCCTATATTTTTCAAAATGTTTCTATTCTACAGTTTCAAGTCAGTGCTATGGAAGAAGGTAAATTTTTAGCAATGGTTGGTTCTGCTTGACTTGCAAACTTGTGCAGGAGATGGAGCTTCGACAGTTCGGGATGTGTGTCCATATCCAAATTCATTCCATATTGATGTGTGGGTTCCAAAAGAAGGTTCTATCAGGGAAGGATCTGGAAAACCTGAACTCGAGAAGTTGCGGTGAGCTATTTCCTTACTAGAGTTTTCAGAAATTAGTTGTGTAATTTTTTTGAACATTTCTTCGTTAAAGCTTTAATTTTTAGATAGCGATTTGGTATGGATACTCATGTTTTTTTTCTTTGGAAAAATTGATTTGATGATTTATTCATGCAAAGGAGTGGTAAAAAAGTTCAAAAATGTGGAGTTATAAGCCAAATTAAATGCAAATATTTAGTGTTGTGTCATTTCTGCTCTGTTTATTTGCCACGACCCGTCTTTCAAATCTACTATGCGAATACCAAGACTATCTACCTTCATTCGATTCCTTTAATCGTATCCATCATCCACAAAGACGTCGATGGATGCTGATCGAGTCGATTCTTGACGGAAACCTGAGGTAGCAGGGCTAGAGGGTTCCCACTTGGAGTGCAGAGAGTGAGCTGATCCCAGACAACTATGGTGCCAAATTCCCGACCACGGAGTGAGGTTTGGCAAGGCCGCGATGGGGTTGAACCAACACCACACATCTAATGACTGTTATCTCTTCCATTGCGCTACCCGTTCCACAGTTTTGTATTAAGTGTTATTTAAAAGCGAGTTGTGAAGACAATGTAAATGAATGAAGAAAATGGAAATAAAATAGAAATAAATGTAAACACGCATAATAAAACAGTAATGAATACTTTGCATACGGATGAATTTCGGCATAGGACATTATGCATTATATTTCAGTGGTAAGGCAACTTTTCTTTGAGGAGTTAACATATTGCCTGTGATGTTTCTTTGTAGAGTGATGCTTGCCGCCGACACAAAAGCTCATTTGGACAGTTGGCTGGAAGTTATAAACGAGACGACACGACATATACTTATGTGGGATCGACCAGTTAGCATTTCCAAACAATAACAATTGAATTTACTTACACATTATGACCGGCATTTCTTGCTGCAACTACTGTTCAAATGAAACCTTGGAACCACGAAAATGTTTGCCATAATAAGCTTCATTTATGCACTAATTCTGTGAAGGAATCGCCGATCGCTTAAGGACATATTTTCGTTCCCTTTTAACCCTGGACTTATCTTAAGTGTATGTACTTCCATTTTCTCACTGTGACATTTTACATTCATGTATCCTATTCGAGATCATATTCCAGTCAATTCAGTTTGTTGCTCTATGAGGGATGGTTTTATTGGATCGTTTTAAGTGAATGATAAAAGTTCTTTTCTAACTAGATTTATTATTGACAGTATTGTTATCACATAATAGCTACATACCGGGATTTGGAATTTCTTTAGAAATTGTCTCTCAGAAGTAGCGCTTAAAATCGCGATAGAAAGCTTCGTTGTGAGGTGATACATAGTTGTGAGCCGTATGGACCATTCTTTATTACCTTAGTGGGATTTAGGCTTACGGTATATGAGGTGAGAATCATAATGTTAACAACTGGTTAACGGCTTTTTCACGGTCCGACGCACAATTAAATTATTGCCGCATCTAATCTTCGCAAGGTTTTTCGAGCTATGAATTGGAATCAACTCATCTCGATCAATTTTCATATGTTGTATAACTCTTATATAGCAATTAATCGCAGCAGAAAGCAAAAATATCGTAGTATTTTTCTCATGTGAGTGTGCGTTTTTCTCATGTCATTTCTCATGTATTGTATTTACACCCTCACCCTCAGCAATCTGTATGTGGGAAACAGTTCTGCATGTTTCATTCCTGAGCTGGCTGCTTTTTCCACAACTGCTGGTAGCTTCTAGATCACTAGTTAGATTAGTTGAGTTGTGGACATTGCTCTATCGTTTCAATATATATATATATATATATACAATATATAAGCATATATATATATGTATATATGTGCATATATATGTATATGCATGTGAATGTATATATGTGTAATAAATACACAATAACATAACTATATATAAGTAATGTGGTGAGTAAATAAGTAATTATATATACATATACATAGTCTTTTTGAGAAAACTGAAGTCCAGTCTTTAAACTTGTTTGTAATTAGAATTTCTCCAGAAATTATGGACGAGCTTTGGATTTTTGGAATTTCCCGCCCTATTGTGTAGTAGCAGAAATGGTCGGTACAGGGACCTGTGTATTTTACTGGTTTTCATCAGTTCATACTCTGACCTGGTCATTATTTTCGCATCGTGTGGATATCCATTATTATTCAAACTATCAATCAGTTAGAAGAAGTGCAAAGGAAATTCTAAATCAGCAAAATTAACTCTTGAAAAGGGAAATGAGTTGATACTAATTCATGTGGGTTCATGTAACCCTGACGCCAAAACCGCGCTAACTTTTGAATGGAGATCAAGTGGTGCTGCATTTTTGAGAGTGCAAACAACGAATCTGGGGAGACTTATCAGTACAATTGTTATAAATCGTGCGGCGTGACGTCATTGAAGGTTTAGAGTTCATATGTCAACAGCCAAGCAGCGGTACGATGCAGTTAGGCCGAGGGAACGAGTGGAGTTCGGTGGCTATCGCTTCGTAATCCCGTCATTGAATTTCCAAATGCCAAAGTTTTTGTGCTGCAATGGAATTCATGAAGGAATTATGAGTGAACATCATGACGAGAACAGTTTCGATCTCAACGAGTGCGTTAGCGAGGTAGAGGATACTTCGATGTATATAATTTTTAGTATGTTTTCTATCAATCAGGGAACATTGGAACATTGTGCTTTCCTTATTGTTCTAAGGGTATGGTAAGCGGTACTATTCACACTGATATTTGTCCGGATTTATGCTTATCTCAAAAGAAAGCGTTTTTTATAGCTTTTCATGTGTAGTGTCAAAGAAATTGATAGCAAGGTATCGAGGATGCGATATTGACTATTGCCGTTCGAATGTGGAGCTGTTAAAGCGATTTTGAAGAAATTGACGGTATTCACCATAGAGATCGTATCCTTTGTTGTGGTTTATTTTGAGGTGGTACATATACATACGAGGAACGCATGTGGCACAGTGGTCGGAGACTTCTGCAATACACAAGAATCGATCCTGGCGCCCAAGGTTTACCAAGCCTTCTATCCCTCTGGGGTTGGTAAATTGCTACCAGACTTGTCTGGGAGGATAATAGCACTAGCTCAAAACATCGGTAGGCCACCGCGAGTCACTATAAAGGCCAGGTATGCATTTAGTTGCCTCCAACTATGCTTAATGTAGCTGAGTGCATGGCGTATCCCTCTGGGATTGATAAACGCCGTGAGCTTTATCCTTCATCCTTTTACATATACATACATCCATGTTGAAATCCATCTTGGGAAATTCATTCCAGGAACGGAATGCCAAATTTACATCGTCTTCGTTTGTGCATGCTCCGGTACCGCTTGCATCTGTTTCTACGCGATTGGAGTCCGATCCTTCACCGGTGAATAATAAGGGACCTTACGTTGCTTCGAGTAACATCACTTTAGCTCCGATTATGGGAAGGTCATCTTCATCTGATGGAATTTCAGAAGATTCGCATGTTCGTTCATTTTATCTTCTATGTAACTACATGGAGACTGAAAGGGAAACTGTTTGGGTTTATAACGTAGAACAGTGTGATGGAATTTTTTTCTACGTGGAAATAGATGAGAACAGTTTAAGATAATGATGGAAATTCTTTTTCGTGAGTGGTACTACAGGGATATGATAATAAAATAAGTTGGTAATTGAAAAATTATGTTCTAGTATCGCATGCACCAACTTTAAAAGTTATGAACCCCATGAAGAAGCAGGAGAGATGTGTATTCTACGTACGTAGTTTCCAAGGAGTTATCAACTTCATGTATTGCTTTGGTGTGATCATAAAACGTTTTCGTTCTCCTACAGGGCGGTCAAACCAACTTCGTCGAACATAGATCAAGTTGGTACTTATATCAGACGCCTGCTGGCACTTCGCAGTTCACAGTCGCTTCGGTCAAGGAGAATCTGACTCTTCCCGAAACAAGTCCGTTGTAAATTACGCTCGTAATGGCTTTCAAAATCAGGTTTCGATGTTAAACTTTACTTTGGTATGATAATGTTTACAGATGTCTTTTCCGAAAGCGACGAAGAAATTCTATTTCAAGACGAACCCTCTGACGATTGTGTTCTAGGTGATGCTAGTTTCACCGCGGTAATGTTTGTTTTAAATTGTGAATCAAGAGTAAATGCTGAAGTAAATTAAACGAATTAAATGTATAGAAGACTCAATAAATATCGTGTCTTTATACTGGTCATCCGTATCACTTGTTATCCCTCTGGGTATCGAGTGATTTGAGCAGGCGCCAGCAAACCTATTCCTCCCTGTAGCTTGTAAGAGTAGCTCAGTGGGTTCTGCTCGTTTTATGGATTCGTTAATCATCATGTCTTGCTTCCACTATAAACTATAACTATACTACATTCGCTACATATATGCATATTATATTTACTTTGTATGCTTATATTTATTTCAAATATATGGGAATAATTATTTGCTGCGATGTGCTTCTACAATGGGGCGTCGTACTTTCAGGGCAAAGATTCCTTTGAAGAGATTGAATATATGGATACTTTACCACCGAGAGCACAAATGCATCATTTAGACTCAGACGACTCATTCAATGATGAGGTGAGTAAGGGTTTTAACAACGAGCAGTGTTCATCAAGCATAATCGAGTGAAATGAATTTGCTAGAGAAAATCTAGAAGACGGGGCGAAAGTATTTCGCACACGAAAGTATTGTTCGCACTCAGCAATAGCTAGTTTACCTGGATGGCCTGCTTCCACCAGCCTTGCAGTTTTTGGAAGACTTTGTATTCCTTTCGTTTTCTCTCAATAGTTTACTACGGTATTTCAACAGCATCTGAAGGTTTAATAGAAACTTTCCAAGTGTATGCGCTTTTGTTACCAATAGAGCTTTCTCTCTGCCCGAATTATTCCTTAGTAACATACCAAGCAACGCTTTGGATGCTTTACCTAGTTACATTGAGGCTTTAGCTGTCATGTAGAACAGCTCTACTTTTTGCTGGACAGGCGCTAGTAGAGTGGAATTCGTTTGAGTATTGTCCAATGTAGTTTTTCATAGTCGTCATTTTTCTTTGTTAAAAATTATTTCAACAGATGAATGCTACTCCGAATATAATTCCAATTTTTTATGGAAGTAAATGTATGCTGTTTAAAAACCTCGCGATTGCTGAACAAGAAAACGACACATTCATGTTCCAGTGCCAAAGTTAAGAGAAAGTCGATCCTGGGAACTATAATTCCTCAGCTTCAACAGGATGGTTTCCATTTTCATTATAGCTCATTGTTCCCAATTTTCTGACTCAATAATTCATCGGCCTTTCCTTACCAGGTGCTGAACTCTCTACCAACCAATTTATTGGAGGTGTTCCTGTTGTAGATCATATCCTCAGCTTATTAGTTAGCGCATCCTTTTTTCCTATCATTTCTACATGTTGAGTAGTAGCAGTTGATTGTACTGATCTTCTTTTCATGCGGGTTTAAACGCGAAGAATAACTAAACGTGGTGAGAAGTTCTCGTATTAGTCGACAAGATGGTAGTGAAGAAGTGAGCAAGAAGCTGTACATCGGCGTTTGCAGCTAGTATCTCTCCTCCGTAGTGGGCAACTTTTTTCTAACTTTTTTTTCTTCGACAGGCGATCACTGAAAATTTTATTTGATTTGAGTTCTCAAGGAAAGCGTAGAAACCGACATTTGAAGGAACTGTTTTGGTGTTTATTGCATAGCAGTCGCTAAGATCTGGGGGATGTATTTTATTCGGCTTAATTAACGTCGCATGCACTTACAATTTGATCTCGTCTCTTTGGTTATTTCATTGGTTGACACTGTGCGAAAGGGTAGCCATCAATGCAGGACACTAAAGCTTGTGTGTTTCTTGTTAATCAGCCTGCCTCTTTTTCTTCGGAGAACCGATGCTATCTAGGTAGACGTTCTGGGGTTGTCACCATAGGCACTCTTCAGACGTTATGGATCGGAAGGAATTCACCACCTTCCAACTGTCCATTATTTTTTAAATTCTGTATGACCCATCTTAACGTCTACTGTGCGGATCCCAGCACTTCTTACATTCGATTCGTTACCTCGCATTCATCATCCATTAAGGTTTTCCAAGTTTTTACTTGTGGCTTCGGCTTCTGTTTGAGGATTTTCATTTCATCTGTAAAATGCTGGTTGAGTCGACTCTTCCTGGAGTCCTGAGATAACTGAGCTGGAGCGTTCCCAGTTGGATTGCGGAGAGTGATTTTTTTCCCAGACAAGTCCGATACCAATTTCCTTACCCCGGGGAGATGAGAGGCTTGGTTGACCCGGAGCAGAATCGAACTTGTAACCATGCTCGTAATGACGGACATCACTACCACTATGCTCTCCTTCCCATTCTTACCGTTACGGTGGTTTTGCTTGGAGTAGGTTTAATCTTGAGTGGATTTCCGAATGGGGATGTAAAGTATCTTCTTACCAATGGAGACTCTACTGTGAGGGTAAGCTACCACTACCTGTGACATTTCCCCCGTTCAAGAACAACTCTATCCATGATGAGGCGGTAAACCACCTCAAGAATTAACAACTAAAATTTCATTGTTGGATGTTTTTTTAGGTTATCCCAACGCAGCAAATGGATTCCGAAGAAGAACGTCACGGTAAGTTCTTTTCTTTGCGGCTATTCTAGTTCTGTTATCCAATATGTGTTCGAGTTTTGCACATATAAATTTTGAAATAATAGGTATCCATTTTGTCACTAGTAGTTTTTCAAGGTTTTGTCTTTAGGATGCTATGTGATATAATGTTATTGTGCTTAGATATGCATGGTCAATTCCGGGGATTTTTGAAAGACGACAGTGATGAGTTTGAAGACGACGGTTAGTCCTTCTATAACTTTGAAACGTTTTTACGGAGTCTATTACCATTTGTATTGTTAATTTATGTTGAGTTTCCAAGTACACATCAATCGAAAAAAGAAACTGTGTTAGATTATATCATACCTGAAACAACAAGTAAGGAAGTCTTTGCCAGTTATATGAGTCGGCGCTGATTCATAGGTTATCCAAGCAGGTACTATTAAACATTATTAATCTTTGTTATGTGCCTGAAATCGCCGAGTAGATCTGAACTCTGGATTTCTCTCACTTGTACAAAACAGAACGCCATCTACTCGCCGGGGTTTTCAATAAGGTTGGCTGCACTTTCATTGTTTTTATGTAATCCCACAGATTCTAAGACGTACGCTAGTGCAGGATCAGCCGTCGTGAAGACGCGAAGTGAATGCTTGTTTCCTTCGTCACAGCTCGATACTTGTTTCCTTCGTCACAGCTCAATACTTTGGTCCACCACCCAAATCTCTCCTTTGCTTTTAATCAGCATTAGAATTGAGTCGTTCATATTGATTTTTAGAGGAAAATGTATATCGTTGTTTCGTATTATCGGGAGGTATTCGTGTCAATGAACATGAATGGAACAAAAGGTATCCATTCATCATGGAAAGCTTCGTTTATGCCCTTAACGGTAAATCAATACTTCCATCCACAAATTCGAAATGGACTAAAATTCGCTGTTTGTAGTAACGCCTTATTGAAACTAAGTATTGTCTTGTGCTTTCATGGTGATTTTAATGGATTTCATCGTTGTGTAGATATGACCTCTTGTGGTAAACTTTTCTCGAAACCTCCCACTTACGACAGAAGAGTTTATGGGGGAGTTTTATTAATTCTTTACATATCTCGGACTTCGTGAGAGTCAGTGTGATGTCTTTTATACCACACAGAGATGCTAGGAGTATTATAAATCTGGTCATATGAGGGATTGTAGTAGAGGTCATGGATGGCCTCCATATCTTTCTGGATGTGCATTGATTGTTCTGTATGGAGTCTGGTGTTATTCGTGAGCTTAAAATTGCAAAATTTGGCAAACGCTGTGGATCCTGTCCCCAACCTAATGCGTTTCATTGATTGCCATTGTTTTTTCCTATAATCTATGCTTTTATTCCCTTCGCCGATTCTTAAAAGTTCCTGTTTTAACTAACATTTGTAAACGACCTTTATAGCTCTACTCTGGTTTGCTCAGCTCGAGAGATTACGCAGTGAGGGCGTCACGCTGTAGAGTACTGGATTTGTTTAGAGTTTGTAACGGGTTTTTGAGTGATTGCGAGCCTTTGCTATAGATGCCTGTATCTGTCCTATAACTCTTATCCTGTCTTGTAACTGCTTACTATAGGTTTCTTGTGAGAGATGGCAGAGAGAAGTATTTTCGTGAATCCATTTTCTCTTTCAAAATGCATAATGGTCAGAGCTCCTACAACGTAGGAGGTGTTTTTTGTTACGTCTTTTGATCGCTTTAGAAATTTGTTTCTTTCAGTGGCAGCACTTGGTGAACCGCTTGGACAAGAGGTTTATAGGACATTGAAGGAGAAATTTGGCTTCAATTCGTTTCGACATCGTCAGAAAACGACGATCACTGCAATTCTGTTAGGACACGATGCATTTGTGCTTATGCCGACTGGTAAGAACAATGTCTGTGTACACTGGAAGCAATCCAAAAACGGTTTTATCATCTACATCCATTTTAATCTTTTATTTTTCGTTATCTTTTCAGTGCGCTAGTAGTTGCTGAGCCCTTCTGTGATCAGTGTTAACCTTTTATTTGATGCCTATTATAATTTTTTAAGGCAGAGTACTATCTGAAATACAACCATAATGATGCTGAGACATTTGCAAAACTCCGGACCGCAGGTGTATGTGATAGGGGACGAACACGCTATTATCCTTTCCGGGGGCTAACGCGTTCACCACCACACTATGCGAGTCCTTCGTTTCGCCTGTCTCAGCAATTTTTCTGTCGACAAGTGCCATCAGCAATCTCTGACTAGTGTTTAACAAACTCATAGAGGACACTTTTACTTCTCCGTTTAAGGGTGGTATAAACAGATTTTCTGAAGTTCTATTTCAAATTCGAATTTGGTTAAAACACAAGTTTAAGAAAAAATGAAGATGTATAGCTTTGAAAATTTTTACCTGTTTTAGGTAGCCGGAAATGCTAGCGATACATTGCATCAGGCCATCATATGATTGAAGACTTTTCCATTTTTTTAAACTTTTTTTTAAAACGTGATCTATGATCATATATATTGAGCGAGTTATAGCAGTCATAGCACTATTGAACCCATGTCATTCGTTTTCTTCGCATTTATCATCCACAGAGGTCTTCGAAGATTTTGTTTGCTGTTCCGGCTCCTGCTTGAGGATTTCGCCTTTATGAGTTTCGTAGAATGTTGATCTAGTCTTGCATTCATGGTAATAGCCGAGCTAACGCGTCCCCACACGGACTGTAGGAGAGGTTGTGAAGGGTGTGGAACCTGCACCTTGCTTTGTGGTGGACCGCATCACTGAGTATTGCTCTAACCGCTTTTCTTGAAGAAGGAAGAAGCTAGAAGAAATTTGATTTGCTTAGTTGCTTCTCTGTTCTAAAAGGAGCCTCGAGATAGAAAAACNTTTTTTTAAACTTTTTTTTAAAACGTGATCTATGATCATATATATTGAGCGAGTTATAGCAGTCATAGCACTATTGAACCCATGTCATTCGTTTTCTTCGCATTTATCATCCACAGAGGTCTTCGAAGATTTTGTTTGCTGTTCCGGCTCCTGCTTGAGGATTTCGCCTTTATGAGTTTCGTAGAATGTTGATCTAGTCTTGCATTCATGGTAATAGCCGAGCTAACGCGTCCCCACACGGACTGTAGGAGAGGTTGTGAAGGGTGTGGAACCTGCACCTTGCTTTGTGGTGGACCGCATCACTGAGTATTGCTCTAACCGCTTTTCTTGAAGAAGGAAGAAGCTAGAAGAAATTTGATTTGCTTAGTTGCTTCTCTGTTCTAAAAGGAGCCTCGAGATAGAAAAACAGAAAAATCATGCAAACCGGAAAATTAGATTTTCATCTCGGCAGGATAAGAACAGTATCTTGTTGACAAAAATCTGTAGATGTTACCGATTTTTATCTGGATTATTAAAATTCACTATGCGATAGGTGGTTGCTTAAGTATCAAATCAGCAGTCATTTTTGAACATGTATGCATTGAAGTCTATGCAAATTGCTGCGAATGTGCTAAAAGCTATTACTGACACAAGGTGTCACAACTAAATACTTATTTGTAAATTTTTTTTGTTCTAATCATTTAACTCGATATTGTCTTCTCTGAATTTGATAGAGCAAGGTATATAAACATATATGTATATATATATATACATATATGTACATATATATATACATAATATATATATATACTATATATAGTATTATATATATGCATATATATGTATATATACATATATATAGACATGTATATATATACACATATATATATATAACTACACATTGTTTTTTCAGGTGCTGGGAAAAGTTTGTGTTACCAGTTGCCTGCAGTACTCTCTGATGGAGTCACTGTTGTCGTGTCACCTCTGAAGTCACTCATTGAAGATCAGCGACTGAAAATGAGAGACTTGGGGGTACGCCTTTGAATTATGAGTGACGATGTTGTTTTGTACTCGGTCGTTTCATATATATGTGCGATATCTCGCTCGCCTTTCGATCAGTCGGTAGATTAACCGCAGGATTCACGCCATTGTGGACGAGTTGTAATGAGGCTGGCCTCTACCGCGCCCGCAAGAATTTGCGACTACTATCAAAGACACATGAGTACTTTGGAGCTCCAAGGAAAGCTTGATTGGCTAACAAAAATGCATTCTTAGCATAGCGCACATCGTTGACGCGGCCGAGACATGTTATTCACTATCAACCGAAAATTTTATTTCCTGCTTTTTAATAAAAGAACAGAGCTCCTCTGAAACCAGTTTTCCCTATAGTCACAGGTCTTATTACGCGTCGAGCTGTTGGAGACTACGAAACGAGAAACCGATGTGTATCAATACAATTACAAGATTCTAGTTATCCTTAGAAGTCTACACGCAAATCCTCTTTCAGCGCTTACTCTAGAGCACACAGCATGATCTTTAGTGAACTGATTTAGAATTAATACTAGCTAGGTTCTATCATATTTGTAAATAAGAGTATGAAGAGTGTCGTATCCCCAGGTCCCACTAAACTAATACAGCGAACTTTCTTGGAGCGGTGCACTGTAGTTGTTTTTCATAGCTCTATATGGCACCATGTCTTTAAAAGCACAGGATATCAGACTAGTAGAAAACATCGCGCGTTGTTTTCTATCCATAAAAGGTGGTTTAATCTAATTGGCCTTCTTAATTGCCATCTGATCTATTTGTGGGCAGACTTCAGCAAGCTCGTCACGAGGCCTACCATGCTTAGCAAGGGTTTTGTGTGAAGGCCACCAATTAGGCAATTCAGATTTCGACCGAGGTTTCTCTGTGTTGTAGCGAAAACCGGTGATAAAATTGTTGCTAATCTCAATGAGAAGTGCGAGTCACCCTTTGCCTAGGGTTTTACTGATTCCGAAATGCTTTTAAAATTATCAAGATACGCTTTTCTGCCAGTGCTTTTCAGTGAAACAGTCAGCTGGTTTTACAAGAAAAGCTCTGGCGGATTCCGTGGGAAACAACTATGTGGTTAGGTCACTGCAGCTTTTCGACCACCATACTGCCTCTGTCACTTCTTCGTGATGAAATGAAATATACAACATATACAATCTAAAGTGGTACAAGCGTCGTATAGTGCGACCCTTATGGGTGTGGTGGATGTGGTCCCCGTGAACGTAAGAGGCCACCTTCGTTGTGTGCCATAGTGGGAAATGAGCAAATAGGAACCGCTGAAACCCATAAAATGCGTGAAGAACTAGGTTTACAAGTATCAAAGTAGCTATGTAGTGCTGATGCTTCTAATTCCGACTCACTACCAAATACTGGACGATAAAAAGCTTTTATGAACCTGATTTTTTATAAAATGACTTGACTTAATTAGATTCCCATAGAATGCTAGTAGTAGGATGTTTCAAAACTGAAACAGTCGATTACACGTTCGTGTTATGTGAACAAGTAGGCATGTACTGCCTTTAGATATTTTAATGGAGTGTTTTCTCCAAAATATGGTCGATATTGATGCATTTCTTTTTGGTCGGATGTCTACAAATTTTCAAATCGAAGTTATCATAGATTCCATGCGAAGCACTGACGTCCGATTTGAGCCTATCTGACCAGACGGTGATTTACAATCGACTAATGTGTTCACCACCCGACATTAAGTTGCTATACATTACACCCGAGAAGGTATTTTAATTTGCTATCTGCTCTGTACTTTTGTTGATTTATATTGCCTTACATGGCACGCATAACTTTCATACGGTTTTTTTTAAACTGGACTTCATAGATTTCATGCAACAAAGCTAATTAATAATTGAATAAAAATCATGTCGGTACAGAACACTTTTTGTTCTTATTGTGTCCACTTTGTCTGTGTTGATGAAAGTTTTCGCTCCTTCTCGTTCTCCTTGTTTCTTTATTTTTTTTCGTAGTACTCTTTTTTTTTATCACCATTCCTGTTTTCTCACTAGCTTTTCTACTCTCATTGTTCTTTAAAAAAAATATATTTCTTACTCTAACCTACTAATGATTCTGTGTACCTCGGATGATCAATATTCGAAAAAATACATTTAGATTAGTGCGTCCGGACGACTGGCATCAGTGTTTGGAAGCCTACATCGCCGTAACTTCCTTGCTCGGTTCGTGATCGACGAAGCGCATTGTGTCTCGCAATGGGGCCACGATTTCCGCCCCGACTACACAAAGTTGCAGTCACTGCGTCGCGATTACGCTGAGCCAAAGGTGTGATGTGGAACAGAAGTTTGAGTTGCATGTGTACAAATACTGTACATTTCTCATAGAAGTAGATATGGTAACTGAGAAATTTTGTTTTCCCATGACCGACTTTCTGTTAACCTCGGCATTAATTGATAATTCAATGTTTTTCATCAATAAGCAGACACGAGGTTGTTAATATAGAATTTATTAGAACACAATTGCTGACGTTTCGGCGGTTTCGCCTTCTTCAGAGCCCACTATTCTCTTCCAAAGGGATTCCTCCAAATACTGGACACAATAAGATTCCTTCGACTTGCATTTCTTCAATTGCGCGTACATGGTGTTCTGCTTGTATCGAAGAGAGGCACGTAGTAGTCGCGTTTCGATGTCCAGTACTAGTTGGCTGTTCCTTGGTAGGCCGCACACGTTTTTAAAAAAAACGACTACACGATGTGTGCGGCCTACCAAGGAACAGCCAACTAGTACTGGACATCGAAACGCGACTACTACGTGCCTCTCTTCGATACAAGCAGAACACCATGTACGCGCAATTGAAGAAATGCAAGTCGAAGGAATCTTATTGTGTCCAGTATTTGGAGGAATCCCTTTGGAAGAGAATAGTGGGCTCTGAAGAAGGCGAAACCGCCGAAACGTCAGCAATTGTGTTCTAATAAATTCTATATTAACAACCTCGTGTCTGCTTATTGATGAAAAACATTAAATTTTGTTTTGTTTCTCTTAATTTATGGCAGTTTATGAGATCATGTCTATTTGCCTCCGCTTAAACATTTGTTTGGAAATTTTTGAGCGAGTTCGCCTCCTATGAGTCAGTTGATTTGGCCGAGAAAGATTGACCAGAAGATTCTGATAGAGTAATGTGGTCATTTCCTCACAGCGTTTTATCGCCCTTTGCAGTTACGCTCCAATTTCTAGCGATTCCATGATGTCACACTTGGAAGTGGTGCTTGGTGATGGTGCTCAACGACGAGCTATCTCCAACTGCGATATCATGGAATCGCTACAAATTGGAGCACATTTGCAAAGAGCGATAAAACGCTGTGAAGAATTGACCAGATTACTCGGTCAGAATCCTCTAGTCATTCTTTCTCTGCCAAGTCAACTGACTCAGAGGAGCCGAAGGCGAACTCGCTGAAGAATTTCTAAACAAATTTTAAGTGGTGGCAAACAGACGTGACCTCATGAACTGTTTACCTCTTTTGGTGAATCAACATATTTACTACTGCATACACCTGTGGTCCGGAGTTTTGCAGATATCTCAGCATTTCATACGAGTTATATTTCACAACATACCCTGCCATTAAGAAGAAAAAGGCAGTAAATAAAAGAGTTAATATTTACTACTGTTATTCGGAAAAAGGAAGAGTTTTTTAAACCTTATGATCGACAAGAATTGATACGATTTTATACGTTCTTAATCATCGCTTAATCAAATGCTTTAAGAGTTTTTAAGTAGAAGACCGTATGAATATTTTAGGTGCAAATAGTTGCTTTGACGGCAACCGCCACACCTAAAATCGTCGCAGACACGCGTGATCATCTCGGAATAGGAGATTCGAAGTTGTGAGTTGTTACAATGTTTTTCTGAGTTTTCATTTTAATGTTATTTTTCAGATTTATTAGCAGTTTTGTGAGAACTAATCTCACTTATGAGATCGTGCTGAAGGCGGCGAAAACATTCATAAACGTCATTCAGAAAATGACACAGCTTTACCCGGGAAAGGCTGGAATTGTATACTGTTTGTCGAGGGAAGTCACATATTTTGCGGAATTGTTAATTATTCTACTATCGTTTAATTTTGTATTTCCAGAAAGGAGTGCGAAATGGTTTGCACGTCGTTAACTAATGCCGGCCTAAATGCTGATGTATACCATGCTGGTCTTCCCGACAAAGCCCGATTACAGGTTAACACTGCTGCGGATCTGGAAATGTACTCAGCATCAAACGGGCAGCTGTCTTATTTCGCAGATATTTTTCAACATTTTTCTGTTCAAATTGTCTTGAATAATGGAATTCTAACGGATGCTGGAGGTTGGTGGATGTTAGCGGTGCCCCTTCAGGTTGCTTCCCTATTAAGGTGGTTAAATCTGAGCGGTTGATTTTTCTGGTGGGATAGTTTTATCATCCTAACATAAAATTCTCTGTCGTACTGGGTCTCATGTCCAACAGAACGGGTTCCTAACGGCAGCTATAACACGGCGTTGTCTTTATGGAGATAATTAGAAAATCTGCAGTTGATAATAGATTCCACTTTGCTCATAATGATCTATAAATCTTCATTTTTGCTGGGTTCCAGCTACACCTATGTTTATATATATTGATGCAATTTAATATTATCTTATTTTTATGTAGGTTCAACATCGCTGGCTGCGGAATACTATTAATGTGATATGTGCGACGATCGCTTTTGGTATGGGTATCGATAAACCAGACGTGCGATTTGTAATTCATTACAGGTAAAGATTTAAGGTGATTTTCGATTTTCCCTTTGGTCTTCTTTATTGTTCGGCATCTTATTCGTTTGTTGATTCGTTCCTGGTTGTTCATTTCTTTAAGAAATTCATGTGTTAAAGAAAGCACTCAGCATTGCAGTTGGTGATTTACTCATGTGGTTATTTGGTTTGATGAGAATAAAAGTCTAGAAAAACATCGACATAAATACTTCCATTAAAAGAGATTTTATTATGGGTGCGTGTAGCGCATTGGTCAGAGACGCCCTGCAATACACATGGGATCAATCCTCGCGCTCTAAGTCTACCAAGCCTTCTATACATCCGGGGTCGGCAAATTGGTACCAGACTTGTCTGGGAGGGTAGCAGCACTGGCTCGATACATCGGTAGGCCAGTGCGAGTCATTGTAAAGGCCAGATATGCATTCAATCACCTCTAAACGAAACTTAGTGGGGTGGAATGCATGGTGCATCCTACGGGATTGATCAGAGCCGAGAGCTTTATCTTTTACCCTTTACTGGATGAGAATTTCAAAGTTGAGTAACATGCTTTTTTATCTCCTGTTTGTCAACACTTGATAAATTTCCTAATTCAAAACGAGAAATAGAAATTGAGTCCACAAATAACTATTCTGTTCCTGTTACTTTTTATTAGTATTAGATTTATCCATCTTGCCTATGACTGCTTTTTCTATGTAGTTCTATTTTAATGATATTTTTGAAAATACCAATGATCAGTGTGATCAGAGGTGAGGGCAGAAACTCAGAAATTCGCTACCTATAATTTTTTAATCTTTTTTTCTGTGGTTTTTTTTACTTATCAAGGTATTTTAGACTTCCTGATGTTAAAATACTGTTTTAGTCTGCCTAAATCGATCGAAGGTTACTATCAGGAAACAGGTCGAGCCGGACGGGACGGACAACCAGCATATTGTCTTTTATTGTATAATTATCAGGATGCCATTCGCTTGCGAAAGATGATTGAAAGTTGGGGATTGTTTTTTCCTTCTCCAATCTTGTCTTTATCACTGACCTCTCTGACATATGTGCAACAACTCAGGTGATGACTGTCAAGCACCAGCAAGTGTTCGAGCAATGCATCTGCAGAATATCCACCAAATTGTGTCGTACTGTGAGAACGTCTCCGTCTGTCGAAGGAAGATACTTGTAGAGCATTTCGGAGAGGTATGAGGATGAAACGAAGCCTGCGATGAATTGCCACCGGCAACCACACAATTAATTAAGAGGCTTTTGATTTCGGAAAATTAACATCTTTGTCTTTTTGTCTCCTTATAAAAATTGTGTGTGAGGGACTGATTACACGGTTACTCATTAGCGAGCTTGCACAATTCATACCAAATCAAGGTGCACGTGTCGAAATATTTGCAAACTTATCTCGTATGTCCTGGAACGTCGCGACGAAATTAATCAACGACATCGTCTTCAATTTTAACTTATTATTTACTGCCTACTGTTTTTAACGACGGGATATACATTGTGAAATATAACTTCAATGATGCTGAGATATTTGCAAAACTCCGGACCGTAGGTGTATGCGGTGGGGAACGAACGCGTTATTGTCCTTTCCGGGAAGTAGCGCGTTCACCACCACACCACGCGGGTCCTTCGTTTCGCCTGTCTCAGCAATTTTTCTGTCGACAAGTGCCATCAGCAATATCTGACTAGTGTTTAACAAACTCATAGAGGACACTTTTACTTCTCCGTTTAAGGGTGGTATAAACAGATTTTCTGAAGTTCTATTTCAAATTCGAATTTGGTTAAAACACAAGTTTAAGAAAAAATGAAGATGTATAGCTTTGAAAATTTTTACCTGTTTTAGGTAGCCGGAAATGCTAGCGATACATTGCATCAGGCCATCATATGATTGAAGACTTTTCCATTTTTTTAAACTTTTTTTTAAAACGTGATCTATGATCATATATATTGAGCGAGTTATAGCAGTCATAGCACTATTGAACCCATGTCATTCGTTTTCTTCGCATTTATCATCCACAGAGGTCTTCGAAGATTTTGTTTGCTGTTCCGGCTCCTGCTTGAGGATTTCGCCTTTATGAGTTTCGTAGAATGTTGATCTAGTCTTGCATTCATGGTAATAGCCGAGCTAACGCGTCCCCACACGGACTGTAGGAGAGGTTGTGAAGGGTGTGGAACCTGCACCTTGCTTTGTGGTGGACCGCATCACTGAGTATTGCTCTAACCGCTTTTCTTGAAGAAGGAAGAAGCTAGAAGAAATTTGATTTGCTTAGTTGCTTCTCTGTTCTAAAAGGAGCCTCGAGATAGAAAAACAGAAAAATCATGCAAACCGGAAAATTAGATTTTCATCTCGGCAGGATAAGAACAGTATCTTGTTGACAAAAATCTGTAGATGTTACCGATTTTTATCTGGATTATTAAAATTCACTATGCGATAGGTGGTTGCTTAAGTATCAAATCAGCAGTCATTTTTGAACATGTATGCATTGAAGTCTATGCAAATTGCTGCGAATGTGCTAAAAGCTATTACTGACACTACTCTCAGCTAGTTCTATCGATCTTTTACCATTAGCAATCACCCGTCAGCGACTCCCTGAAAAGTACAATAGCGCGTTCGTTCCCCACCGCATACACCTGCGGTCCGGTGTTTTGCAAATGTCTCAGCATCATTGAAGTGACATCGTCTTCATTCTTTCGTTTCGTAATGAGAAAGGTAACTATGGTCCAATATTACCGGTACCGGTAACCTCCTTTCTTTCACATTTGATGTCCTATGTGGTCACCATCTTTGCTTAGACGTCTATGACTTGCGTTTACTAATATTCTCCCAACGGTTTACCGCCTCGTCGTGGTTGGGTGATGTTTATGGGTGTCGAGCTCCGATGTACAGTAGGGGAGTCCACCCTCTAGCAAGGTAAACCAGGCTGAGAAGGAGTCCGGCGTTTCCATCAGAGCACAGCTAAGTGTAAACCACTACCAGGATCCACCACCGTCCTGGTATCAAACTAGTCGCATGGTAGCATATCTCTCTGATCCACAAGTGCTGTAACTGCCTGTGGTGGTGACGACCTCGGGCAGACTTTGGTTCGGCTGACCTCGGGACTTCAAAGAACCGCGATGGCTAAACCAACGAAATTCCGAAGCAATGGAAATTATGCAAAGGCCCTTCACAAACAGTGAAGACGAGCCATCCAAGTACCCAAGTGTTTACTAATACAATAAAAAGTTTGTTTTTGCAGTTCAGTTTTCCGTAAAGAACGCCCACAAGAGTAGAGTTCAATATTTCTTGTCAATGTATTAGTTTTCCTGCTTTTTATTTAGGTCTACGATGCACAAATGTGCTTAAAAAGCAATACTCCGTGCGATGTATGTCAACGCCTGAAGCGAAATCCTGAAGGAGTAAAATTGTTCGATGTGTCTGATGAAGCAGTACTTATTCTCACAGCGATGACGAAAATGAGAAATATTACCTTGAGGTCGCAGTGATCGCATATTCAATTAATTTTTATTTTCAGATTCTCTAACATACTCATCTATCCGCAAGTCATTTCTCTCTTAAATGTTTACCACTTCAAAGGAAATATCTGCCACCGCAGTTTTGAGGTGGTTAACTTAGAACTTGTCATCATTATCAGGATCATTCATCACCTCCTTTTTATGTCCTGATAACAAGGCAGGGGAATCTCCTCTGAGTCACTTGGCGGAGGCTCTTGGCAAAGACCCAAGTAGACCTCGAATCGACTACCTCAGAACATTACGATGATGCCTAACGCTAAGTTTGGATAGTGCACTGGTTTTCGGGAGAGTAAGGCATGCACACTAGAAGCCTGAGTCTAAAGAAATTTAACTATTTTGAAGTAGAGTTGTTTAAGTGTAATATTTTAGTACTTTGAAGTAAACGATTATAATTTTAGGTATTTAGCGGATTTGTTCCGAGGGCAGTTGGGTAAGAAAGCTGCTGAGCAGGCAGCTCGTCTCGGGCACACAGCGTTACCTTTCTACGGCAGAGGTGTCGGCATGTCTGAGCAGGACGCTTTACGTTTCATGAGAAAAATGGTATTTTCGGAATTGATTAACAATTTTCGGGTTTGTACAGTTCGACTAGATTAAGAATTGTTTGGGAATCACTGGATATATGTTTCTTAAACAGAGGCATATCTTTTGTTTACTCGTTATTTTTTTTTTGTTTGCAAAATGGAAACTGGTTATAACAGCATCGACGACGGAGAAAAATTGCACACATATGTGTTAACTTAGTTCAACACTTTGACGGCCCACCTTTGCGAGTTGTGCGGGCTCCAGTACACCTTTGCCTCACAATCGTCGTTCGTGGTGTTGACTTAATTCGAGTATGGTAGCAAATTTCGGAAGCGGAAACGTTCTACACCAACATTTTCCGTTCCACAATCACCGCTCCGGGCTCTAATATCCCCGCTGGAGAAAAACCATCTGGAATTCTTCCGTCGGAGATTTGAGTTGCGATAGAAAGCATGAAAAGAGGTACAGCTCTAGGACCCGGTAATATCACCGCCGACTTCCTTAGAGCTGGGGGCCACAATTTACATATACTTTTCGCAGATCATATGACAACCTACCTTCGAAAGAAAAAAATCCCAGACCAGTGGATGTCATCGCACACAATCATTCTGCCCAAGAAAGAAGATTGAAAAGATCTTCGTAACTATCGTGCCATATGCTTGTTGAGTGTTCTGTACAATCTCTTCACGAAGATTATCCTCTCGCGCATATCATGGACATTGGATGAGGCGCAACTAGTCGAGCAAGCAGGATTTCGAAGGGGATTTTGCTGCATGGACCACATCCAGACCGTGTCCAGGGTCATCGAAGTTTGTCGGGAGTACTACTTGCCTCTAGTCCTAACTTTTGTCGACTATGAAAAAGCGTTTGACAGTGTCGAAACGAATGCGCTCCTATCAGCGCTCGTCGACCAAGAAGTGGACCCGGCCTACATAAGTACTCTGTCCGACTGCTATCGGAACTGCACTACGAAAATACACCGTTTGTTCTTCTCATTATGTGACCAACCCATCTGTCTTTCGTTATCGATGTATATTCTCCTGGATACCGAAGATGGGAGATTTTGAAGATGACAGCTTCGCATTCCAGCTAGATATTTAATGTGTCGTTTATGTTTCAGAATATATCGTTTAAGCATTCTCTCAGTAGCGCGCAGTATTCTTGATGTAGTCGAAATATCATCCCAAGTTTCTGCTGCGCAACAGAGCGTTAGGAGGACTGTTCTATCAAAAAGATGAGCTCGGATTTTCGGCTTCTTCAGTTGGTCGATGGCTTTCTTTGAAAGGTTCGAATGCGGCGCAAGCTGCTCTCCTTATCCTATCTAATTCCTGATTCATGTTGTTTTCCATGTTCGTTGATCCCTTAAGGCATACGTACAAGCTGGTCTCTGCAACGAGGGAACCATCCAGTTCGATTTGTTCGCCTTGGCACCATGAGTTTTTTATGAACTGGGTCTTATTTCGAGTCACGCATGGTCCTATTTTCTTCTCGCTTCGTTGAGCTTATTGATCATGGTCTCTGCTTCATTGGGGCTTCTAGAGAAAACGACGATGTATTCGGCGAAACGAAGGTTTGGTGGAATTTTTCTACCAATACGTTTGGCTTTCTCATTCTTATCGAGTGACTTCATTATCCACGGCAGGACAGCACTGAACAGCTTTGGCGATATTGTGTCCACTTGTCGAACCGCTTTTCCTATAGTTGTGGTAGCAGGTCGATGGAAAAGCTGTATTCTTGTAGTGCATTTCCGATAACAGTTAGACAAATTTCTTATTAGGACGGGTCCGCTCCTTAATCTACGAGCGCTAATGGAATTGCATCCATTTCGGCACCTTGCGTTCCCGGCAAATTTCATTGATCCTGGACAGAATTTGCCAGTGGTCTATACAGCAAAATTTCTGTGGAAATCCCACTTGCTCAACTGGTTGCTCCTCATCCAATGTCCTTGATGTGCGCGGCTGGATAATCTCTGTGAAGAGTTTGTAGTGTACACTCAACAAGCATATAGGACGGTAGTTACAAAGATCTTTTCGATCTTCTTTCCTGGGCAAGATGACCGTGTGCAATGTCATTCACTGGTCTGTGTTCTTTTTTCTTTTTGAATGTAGGCTGTCAAATGGTTTTCGAGAAGTACATATAAATTGTGCCTTCCAGCTATAAGAAAGTCGGTGGTGATATTACCGGACCCTGCAGCTGTGCCTCTTTTCATGCCTTTTATCGCAACTCGAACCTGCGGCGGAAGAATTCCTGGTGGTTTTTCACCAGCGGTGATATTAGGGTCCAGGACGGAGATTGTGGGACTGAAAAGTTTATGTAGAACGTTTCCATTATTAATTCAATATCATGGCGAGGAAGTTTGATGATCCCATCTTCGTTCATCAGGGCTGACAGCGGAACACTATGGTCACACAAGTTCCGACGACATTTTTCAGACTGTTTATTTTCTGTGCTGCTTTTAGTAGTTTTTTTTTACCTATACCAATGAATGTCTTCTTGCAGAGGTCTTTTGCATCTAGCATTTATTACTAGCCGTATTAAACGTGTTCCAGTAGGACCAAACTTCAGTTTCCTTCTCTTTTCGAGCAACTCCTTAGTACTAATGGAGATGCGACCTGATCTTCTTGTTTGAGGAACTGAGGCAAATTCGGCACAAGTTGTAATTCCTTCGACAGGCAGTTCGTAGTTTTCGGTGTCACGTGTTCCTTAACCTGCCAATCTCGTTTGGATAGGATTTCTTTCAAAATGTTGCCAACTTGATTTACAACTTGGTTTTTTTTTTCGATGGGTGACATGAATTATTTTCTAGCTTACAGCTGAGTCGAATCTGTGCACGAAGAAGGCGTATCGAACTAAGTACGGAATGATAAGACTGCCAATATTTCAAGTAGGCATCATCTTGTATTTGTAGGAATATCATGGATCTCCGCGTGAATCGTGCAGTTAGGAGACTATGGTGTCTAACGACGGTTTTCTTTCTCCTGAGAAAACGAGCTTCCATTCTAAGAGGCGTGCTCTAGGGAAGAATCCTGCGAGACGGTTTCCATTCTCATTGCATTCACCTATTCCGAATCTCTCTATCCTGTATTCGCTCTCGTTGATCTTTCCTATAGTGGTATTGGGTCTTCGACAACAAATTTATGATATTATACAATTTATCATTGCGGATAACTTCCTTCATCTAATACTAGAACGCATCCAGTTCGTACTCATCAGGTACACCGCTCGGTAAGTAGCAGTTGATGATTATGATCTTCTTATGATGTGTCACTTGAAGACGGAGAGCGGTCATTCGAGGGTAAAAGATCTCACACTAGTCGACGAGGTGGACAGTGGTCAGGTGGAGTACAAAGCCCACGCCACCGACATTTCGTGGCGGAACCTGTTCTCGACGGATGAGAAGGTTCCCAATGTTTAGATGGCTTATGTCACTTTTCTTTCTTTTGATTCTAGTAGGGCGATCACATGTAATTTGATGCGATCTGTTGCTTTAAAAAAGGCCTGAAGATCAACCTCCGATGAGATTGTTCGGGTATAATACGTGCAAAGTAAGAAACAATCTCCATGTGGTGCCGTTTGTGCGTTTATTATATCTGGTTCCATTGACGTCTTGCGCAATCCAAGGTTTTGTGGCTTATCACCGTTAGTATGAGCCCATGACATCTTAGACGGAAATACCCCGTGTGTGGTGTACTGAGGCTAGTCTATTTCTGACTGGGCAGTTTGATTTTCCCTGCACTCTTGACTTAACCTTGCAAAGGCATTTTGAGGTCTTCACCAAGACGTGGATCGGGGGAATATATCTTTTCGGCAGCGATTCCTTCGTTCAGTCTTCTTACTAGTTGATTCGGACGGGGCATTAAAAGAGGTTAAAAGTGAAAGTAGGGATGAGAAAGTGACCAACCGTTCAAAAATGATGTAGAAGCCGAAGTACAAATATATATGTATATATATATATATATGTGTATGTTTGAAGTTGAGGTTAAAGCCCAGTTGTATACCTTCAATGATGCTGAGATATTTGCAAAACTCTGGACCGCAGGTGACTATGGTGGGGAACGAACGCGCTATTATCCTTTCCGGGGGCTAACGCGTTCACCACCACACCATGTAAGTTCTTCATTTCGCCTGTCTCTCACTCTCAGCTAGTTCTATCGATCACTACCATCAGTAGTCACCCGTCAACGAGAGCCCAAATCGACGTTGAACCCAGTTAAGCTGAGGCTATAGTTGAAATTCACTGTGTTGACCTTCTATTTACTGCCCTTTCCAAGTTTTCAGTTGTATATTTTTTTAATATAATTGTAGTTGTGTAATTGTATAACATATTGATTATATGATTGTTCAGTTGTAATTGTGTAGTATAAGTGTATAGTATTTAACCACTAATTTTACAATTTTAGTTGTATAATATATGAACACGAATAATCACTATTTTTTAGGTTGTAGAAGGTTATATCGTAGAGCGACTATATAGGACAAAGTTCGAGAGCACTGTGGCCTACGCTGAGCTCACTAACAAAAGTCGGCAGGCGATTATGGGAGGTGCAAAGCCAAAGGTACTTTTTTAAAATTCCTTTTACGCAGACCACGGGTACATTTTCTATGGCAGTAATCGCTATCTTGCAAATCCATGTTTTCGACCATTTATCGGACGCCTGTCGCAAAACCAGCTGTGATACGTTCTCTTTTGAAGATTCAGTCGTCAAAAAATTGACATTTATTGTTAATGAGTCATTTTAGAGTCATATGTATAATGTAGATACTTTAAGGTTTACCTCCACGTGACAACGGACAACAAGCGCAGGTCAATCACATCTGATTTCCTAACTAGGACAGCAGTGTCTGAAGCACAGGCGCTCAAAGAAAAGTTCTCTTTTGTTTAGCATGGTTCGATTTTTTCATACAGTTGTGGCTACAGTAGTGTGTTTAAGGCATATGGTAAAGTATGGGGATGTATTTGCGCGATGTTTACAATCTCTAACTCAACTTGTGACCGAGATTGCTGAGGAATGCAATTTATCGGGACCGTACGCAGTAATTTCTCAGGACGGACTCGAGCAGGTGATAGGGCCTATGTACTTTGTTGTGTTTATGACATGCTTTCTGTGGTATCACTGAAATGTATTGGTTACCGCGTTATATGGTCGATTTTATGATGAAGTGAGGGCTTAATCGAGAATGATCGTAGAACCCGCAGAATTACTGTTTCATTAACGTAGTATGATTTTTATTAGTGGCCGCATGCTAAAACATTCGTCTTGTTTATTTATTTTTCTCCTGTGAAGTTTACAACAGCGGTCAATCGTTGCTCTTTAGTTTAGCAAATAGGAAGTGTTGTTTTATTTCTTTATTTACGTACAAGCTGACTGCCTGCGGCTCTGAGGAAGGTGAAGTCCGCCGGAACGTCAACTTGTACGTAAATAAAGAGTTAAAGTAACACCTCGTGTTTGCTAAACAGAAGTAGAAAGAATTATTTAATCAATGCCGAGGTCAGTAGGAAGTCGGACGTTGCTCTTTATTCTATTAGTTCGATACTTGCCAGAGTATGAAACACTTTAATCAACAAGTTGTACGTTATGGATTTACTATCAGAATAATGTTTGCTAAATCCCTAAAGTCAAACATAGTACAGGTGGCTGCACTCCTTCCGCGAACAAACTCAGACCTTGTGCAAGTGGATTCTATGACTTTACGGAAAGTGGAAAAATATGGTGCTCGAGTAATGGCCACTTTGAAACCGTTCTGGAAAGAGGTGGACGGTGAGATTTGTTTGCTGACTCGTTTAGCTCAAATCTTTCATTACCGGCAAATGCCTTTTTATTCTTCGTTGTTGGATGTGCGTTCATTTACATATTTCTTCTCATATCGCCGATATTCATGGGATTTCAAGCGCAGCTGACATATTTATGCTGATATGCAACTTATTCGATGAAATATTTCCATAATATCTCAACAATAGAATCCAGAACATGCGTTTACATTAAAAATAATTAATAAATACTTTCAAATAGTACGTTCGTCACGGAATGTAAAATTTTACTCCATTTTTTGCTTGTTGTACAAATTATACTGAATGCCGAAATTGAACCAGAAGACAGCAAAAATGTTGCACACAGTTGTCATGGTTGGAAATTCGCTCTACTGATGGCGCGTATGGCACAGCGGTCGGAGGCGCCCTGCAACACGCGTGGAATCGATGGTTGCCCCCATGGCCCACCAAACCTTCCATTCCTCGGGGCTCGGCAAATTGGTACCAGGTTAGTCTGGGAGGATAACAGCTCTGGCTCGATACATCGGAGGGTTATCGCGAGCCATGGTAAAGGTCAGATATGCATTCAATCACCTCCAACTTTACTTAATGAAATCGAACGCTTGGCGTATCCCTGAAGCGATTCATCAGCGCCGAGAGCTTTATCCATTTTTACTGGTGGTATCCGTCCGTAAATTGGTCAAGATGTCATAACTAAATCATGAGTGTCAAAATCTTCGCATTTGTTGGGAAAATACTTTTTTGCCGGTGTGTTTCCAATCTCGTTTTCGTTCTTCTTTTTCTGTTGTATGAGAACAGCGGAACAAATCGCATAGATATTGTTTTATAAAAAGGAATTCTAGTAATTTAGTAATAGACCTTAACTACTATTCCTAGGTTCGTCAGCTGTTTCATTTCTATACCATTCTGAATATAAATTATCTGTGTTGTAATAATACCATAAATGATCACGAACTCGTGCGGGAATCTACTTGATCGGTGGGCAGAGGTTCCCTCCAGTGCCAATCTACCACAGACTTTGAAATTATCCTTTATACAGTTTCTTTTTTGGAACAACTTACCACCCGAATCGGACATTAACGACTAAGAAGACGTGGATCAATTCCGGCTTTGACAATCTTCGTCGTTTACGCCCCGACATCGAACTATGACGAAGAAGAAGTCGAAGCGTTCTATATGAACTTGGAGAAGTTCTACAGAGAAGACCATACATTCTTCAAGGTCATCATCGGAGCTTTCAACGCCAGGATTGGACCAAGAAGAATGTCACAATGGGACCCACGGATTAGAATGGAAAGAACAGAGTGATCGGCTGTCTGAGTTTATCATGGCGACCAAGACAATCCATGGTAACTCACAATTCCAGAAGTCCCACTCTCAGCGCTGGACGTGGGAGTCTCTCAATGGAGAGTTCCATAACGAAATAGACCACATCATAGTAAATAGAAGGTTTTGCCTAACCGATGTCGCTGTTGTCCCAAAATTCTACACGGGATCAGACCACCGTCTCCTTCGTGCAAGATTCTATTTCTCGCGGAAAGGAGAAAAAGCCGTTAAATTCCAAAACCCTAGTGCCAGAACCATCGTAAACTGGGATTTATTCAATTCATTGGTCGGCTGTTGGAAAGATATCGTTGTCGATAACATCGACGAGGAATGCGATCGGCTCATTCAACATCTTCACGCTAGCGCTATGAAAGCTCAGAGTTCGAAAGTCACCAAGAGACGTCTGTTTCCAGAAACACTCGAGCTGATACACTAGCGTGGAAACGCACGAGCTGCAGACAACCGCGAACTAACGTCCGAGCTTGCAAAACAATGCAGACAGGCGATAAAAGATGATTTTAAAGAGAGAAGAGCAGCAGTAATTGCCGAAGCTGCAGAGGCTGGGAAAATCATTCGCAAAGCCCACCGAAGCTTTGCCAATTGACCAAAATGATTGCTCTCCGGCGCCCAGACGGAATAGTTACAGCGTCCAGAAAGGCAATGGAGAAAATCATTCACGAACACTACTCAGATCTCTTCGATTGCCACGTCCGCCTTCCGTCATATGAAATAAGGGAGGATGAATATGATTTATCACCTCTTCTCCCTTCCGAAATACGACATGCCATTTCGTCGGTGAAAAATCGAACAGCACCAGGTCTGGACAGGATAAAACCGGAACACCTGAAAAACCTTCCGCTAGTCCTCATAAAGACACTAGCTCGGCTCTTCACACGTTACCTGTCTGAATGCAAAGTCTACTCAATGGAAGGCCAACAAGACCGTGTTATTGTTCAAGAAGGGTGACCTACACGATATCGACAACTATCGTCCAATCTGCTTACTGTCTGTCGTCCACAAACTTTTCACTCAAGTGATCCTAAACAGGATTTACAGAACACTAGACGAGGGATAGCCGTGTGAACAAGCAGGGTTTCGAAGAGGATTTAGTACGATGGACCACATCCACACAGTAACACGGCTCACTGAAGTATCGCAAAAGTACAATAGACCGCTCTGTCTCACTTTCATCGATTTACAGAAGGCCTTTGATTCAGTTGAGGTGGAAGCAGTCTGGGAAGTCCTTGATAGTCAAGGAGTCGCTACTCAGTACATAATGATTGTTCGTGAGCTGTACAAAAATTTCACAACCAAGGTATCACCATTCTACAACGATATTTGACTAAATCTCATAAAAACGATGTTCATGAGGAACGGGTAGGTTTCGTATGCACTATTCACGCTCAACGGAACGAACACCTCCGAATACTCCAGTTACGTCTATCTAGGTCTGGAAATGAACATGAAGAACGACTCCTGCTCTAGAGTTGGGCAGGAGGAAACGCGCGAAGGATTAGTCAGAATTATTGATTGCCCAGTCGAAAGGACGACACTAGGAGTATCCCTTGCCACGCAAGTAAGGGTAGGGATCCGAAGCTCCCTGCATGAACGATCAAGAATCAAGGATTCCGTTCCGTACGCCGAACAATCGAAGATAAGGTGGGCCGGACACGTTATGCGTATGAATGATACCCGATAGACAGAAGTTGTTGGTGACTGGATTCCTTGGGTTGTCAAGCCTACTGTTGGAAAACCACCGACCCGATGGTGCGAGTTCTTCACGAAAACCATGGAATAAAGGTACAATGCTCAACGAGTCCCTAGAGCGAGCAGAACCCACTGGGCTACTCTTGCACGCGACAAGGAAAAATGGGGGATTTGGTGGCGCTCGCTCGAGTCACTCCACGATCAACGGGACTACAGATGATTCAGTTTCTTTTTATGTGCAGAGTAAAATTTTAAAAACTGTCTTTCTTCTATGTATGTAATCGCTAAAATTATTGCAGATCGCGATGAGGCAGAAATGCGCGAGCAACTCGAGAAGCTAAAGCAACACGAGCCTGCTCCTCCTATGCCTTCTGTTCCGTCGATAGATGTGGAATCGTCAAGTACAACACAAAACCCTTCTATTTTATGATGGAGCAAATTTTACCCTTTTACTATTCCAGCTTCACCTTCCTCATTAAAGCCTAGATTTGCACCACGTTTTGGACGCGCGAACAGTGGCAGAGGTCGTGGTTCAGCAACTGTAAGCCGTGCAAGAGTTACTCCGCGTGTGAGAAAGAAAGCCAGTTATGGTAGTAGTCAGGGATCGTAAGTCATTAGCCTGTGACTTTTCCAACAATTTGATGAAATATGAAGATAATGCTTCACGATTATTTAGAAGTGGAACTCGAACCAAACGTGCACGACCGTCATTCAAGCCGCCGACCCGTGACAAAGGCTGTAAAGTGGGCCGTGCAGCACCATCGCTGAACCCAATGTTGTTCCCAGTATAAGTTTATTGCAGTGAAGAATTGTTTTGTAAAATTCTCATCTTGGTCCAGGGTCTGTTGTTCACCTCTCTGTTCGAGGATTCGTGGTTGTTGAGAGTTATTTTCACCTATCGAGTTCCAATTGATCAATGATATCAGTGATTTATTATCAGTTTCAGTGGAAAGTTGATATTTACATACTTGATACTTGAACGGCTCATCCTCACTAGTTGTGCGGGACCTACCATAATTACCATTTTTCGGAGATTTATTAGTTAAGCTTCCTGGAATTCCGATGACAGCTTGGCCGAAGTCTGCCCCAAGGTTGATATTTATTTCGCGTAGATTTAACACAGTTTAATTGCGGCGCTAGTACTTTCAAGCATGCTTTGGCGGGCTTCCATGTAGAGTATTTGCGAAATATAATTTTTTGATCTTTTACACAGTGCATTGCAGTGTGTTGAAATTCTATGTAGTTATTTGTTAGGTTGAATGCTGTAAAGAAGGTGATTTTCTGTGCTCATGTGCATGTGACTTTGTTGAATGGAATTGTTCCACGTGAATACGGAGCTAAAATCTGTATAAAAGTTATTTAAGAGTTTTTGCTTTGTTGCCTTCACTTTTTCATAGAACTTCGGGATTAAATCACTGATTGTGCAACTCGAGGTATACAACAAATACAATCAGTTACCAGCCTCTGTGGATGGGAAAGTTTCTTTCGAGACTTGTTTAGAAGCAGCTATCCGACCGTTCTTATCCCCTGGCTTACTCAAATACTAATAACTTTCACATCATTACAAATAGAATACGCTAGAATTGAGCCAACTTGTTGCGTATTAGAAAGTTCTGTAGGTTCTTATCAGTGTTCTACGGAATTCTATCGTCCCAGATAGAATACATGGGTTAAGTGGTTATCACTTCAATTTAGCTCATTCCAATAGATAGTTTACAGATAGACGGTCCCGTCTAGACCAATCTTTGAGATTTGCCTGGTTCTTGTTCTTGCTGCGCCAATTGCACACATGCCTCCCACATTTACGAGGACGTATTCACCCATGGGTACGTGGGTGTGTCCTTGCCTACACGGGTTAGATTCCACGAGTCAGGTGGTACAAAAGCTGCAATAGAGTGAGGGGTAATTATATGAGATGGGAGGCGGTTAGTAGTTGCCTCTAACAAATAAGCTCTCCTTTAACTCCTGGGAGAGACCGGCAAACTACTTGTTAGTGTACTCAGCACTGCGTTCAGAGTTCAAGCTACACATGGGTATCAAAACTGGCCCTGAAAAAGCACCCAATACGCCAAGTTGGGTAGTACGAGTACGAAGAGGATGCTAAAATCAGGGCTAATGTAAGCTGCTTGGATCGCAAAGAACTAAGGTGACGATCTGTACTACAGTGCACGCACACTTGCATCCGAGTCCTCGATAGAAGACTTGATCATGCAAGCGAGAAGGATGAGGTACGACGTCATCAGCCTGGCCGAGACGACTCCACGCTACCCATTAAACGCCCATTCCGTCTATTACAGTGGAGAAGAACTGTTCCTCGGAACATGCGACAATAGAGGGGTCGGCAGTGTCGGCGTTCTCGCCAACACGAGTTTGTCCATGAGCATCGATTCATTCGAACAACTAACAATCCGAATCGGACGTTTGCGATTAGAAAGATGTGGATCAACACTGGCTTTGACAATCTTCGTCGTT